TAGGGAGTCGAAACATAAATGGCACCGCCCGTCGGCGCCAAACACATACAGCGATCCGTTTTTCTTTTTTTTTTTTTTTTTTTTTTTTTCATTTGAGGGGAAGCAATGCCAAGGTTATTCATTCCAATCTGGGAGCGTTGTTCGGGGACAACGCCCCAGTTTATGACACTTTGTTTAAATTGCGGAGACGCTTCCAGGGTGACCAAATAAGAGGAAAGCAGTATAAGGACGGCGACCAAGTGATTGCTGAATTGGAGCGATTCCACAACACTCAAAACGAGGAGTTCTATAACAATGGCCGCCGGCATGTGGTGCATCGCTGGGAAAAGTGGGTGACTTTTGGTGGCGAACATGTAGAGAAAGTCTCAACTTTTACTCGAGTTTGATTGCTGGATCTCTTCTCCTTCGTAACAATAATACGAACTTTATGAACGCCCCTCGTACACACTAATTTGCTTTGTGTTTGGGTGGAGAGGGTGACGTGGCGCGCCGCTGGCGCGTTTTTGGTCGCCGGTGCCCACGGGCACGGGCTCGCCGGCGATTGACCACACGAATTCACCATTAGTGGCACTGGGAACATCATGGCGGCACAGCGCAACACTGTGCTAGATTTCAGATGCCATGTTCTTCCCAGAAGTGGCGCGCGGCACGTGTCTCGAGCATTTCCACAACAATGAATGGCGCCACTTTTCCATAGGATAGAAGGGCTTTACTTCAGACCTCCTGGGCCCGTTTGCTCGAAGCTGGTTAACTAACCGCGGTTAACCGGATTTCCCTACGAGGGGGAATTTTAGGTCACGTGACCTGCAGAGTAGGGACGCCGGAGTAAAATAGTACCTAGCATCAGACAATATGTCCAATATGGCTGCTACGGCCGCTCGTCACGCTTGGGAACATTTATTTTTACGAAGATGCGTCATCCTCGTGTCACGAAAAGGACATTTCAACACAAAGTCTACTGTCGGAGTTGACGGCGAGCATGCTGTGGGAGCAGGGCCACGCCTGACTGGTTTCGTCGAGTTTGAATAACATCACGCACCGCCCTCTGAAGTGGACTTGTTTTATTGAATGCTACAGTCAGCGGGATCTTCAAAACGTATATCCTAGGTAAGTGCCGCGATGTTTCACGAGAAAGTTATGAGATTGTACCGCTATCAAAATTTCATGTCAGCAGAACTTGCGTTGTAATCAAATTCCAGCTTTCTTTTCTTTTTTTCACTTTTAAAACCTACCTCGAGCCCCAATCGCATGTTAGTGCACCAAATCTCTCTCCGAAAAACGGCCTCTAATCGCGGAGTCTGGTTTATAGTACAGTTCGTCGTGTTTTGTATTTGCAGCGCATCCACAACACCGACGACCCCCTTTAGCGACGGTTCAACGAAGGCAAGATGCAAACTAAAAACTTCCCTCAGAAGCAAAGATCCGTTACCTCAACAGAAGCTGCCGGCACGGATGCCGGCACGGCATTCGATCGAACTTCGGTACTGTCGTCTGCGAACTTGTACAACTGGGAAATAAACAAAGCTTCTATCGGAAAAGAAGTGTGCATATTTTCTCTTGCGCTTGTCTTTCTTCAATTTATTTTGTTTCAGATAACTAGATGTCTTATTAGGATTATAAAGAGAGACATAATTACGTAGCAGACGATCACAACCAATCTGAAATCTAAAATGAGTCAGGCGAATGCAAGCATCACCATGAAACGGCAGAGGAATTGGTCATTGGATTAACAATTAGAACTAATTCGGGCAGTGGGGGAGAGGAAACATCAAATTATGGGCAAGTTCAGTGCTACGGTCACGACCCAAACAAAAAGGCAGGCATGGGACGAAATTTACAGAGCCATGGGCTGTTTGCGCACCCCAGACCAGCTACAACAGTGCTGGAGAAACCTCCTAAAAAGACTAGACAACTCTACAGCTTATTCAAGAAGCATGAACAGCGCACCGGTAAGTTCATTGTGTTCTTAAGTTCAAAAGATATTGCATTGCTTTAGTGATAATACATGAGCAACCAAACCTAGAAACGTGAATGTGGACATTTGTATATTCGTTCACCTTTGCCCTCTGCTGGGAGTCGACTTTTCACCTTCCTTGAACAGCAGCAAAAGCAGTGTTACAGCATCAGAAAACAATTTATTCCAGTTTATGTACAAGTTCTGCACAGGCTGTATGGAACTTGTAAAACAGTTCAGTGGAAGACCCAAAACTTCGGACAAAATATTAAAACAGATTATAAGAGAGCACAATGGTAGAGGCCGACAGGCCAAACTGTAAGAAAGTAAAAATTGCACGATTACACAGTCCACAGTTTCAGCAGTGTTATCTAGCAGTTAATGAATGTTTAAAAGAATGTCTCATGCAGTATTTGTTTATTTTAATTTTCCCATGAAAGTTCCATTTACATACTTGGTTGAACAGTGAACCCCACCTCCTCTGTTTTTGCTCGTAACTCGAGTAAGTAAGAGTCGAGACGAAATTACTACGCCTTAATTCATTGGTGCTGGGCCAAACCCCCACGTCCTGACGCCCCTCGTCGAGGCCGTCCTCGAAGTGATCGGCGAGGACTCGCCCAACCTGTGCGGGTTGGAGGCCACCATAGGTGACACCGAAGAGTAGGTGACTGGTTTCTAGACCCGATTGTGTGAAGAGTAAATGGTTTTAAGGAACCGGTCACAGTAATGCAGAACTGTCGTTCCAGGCGAGGTTCTAAAAGACGAGGACAAATGATGATAAGAAGATGGGCATGTTGCCATTTGAATGGCATTACTGCCGAGTACTTTTATATAAAGACCAGAGGCCGGATGCCCGAAACTTTCTTACAACAAAGTTACAAACTTTTGAGTATTCCCGAAGCAAAATGTTTGTAAGTTTTGCGCAAGTTCTGACGAAATCCGTAGCTTGCGCAAAACTTACGATCTTTGTGCTTCGGGAATACTTAAAAGTTCGTAAATTTGTCATAAGATAAATCTACTAACTTTTTTGTCGTAAGAAAGTTCCGGGAATCTGGCTTCAGTTCTATTTCAACAACAAAAGCTCAAAGGCGGTTCGAAATATAAGTCACGAAACCGTCTTCCAGAGTGCACTCTAAGATCTGACGAGGCACCAGCGCTACCACATTTCTAATTATTTTCAACAAGGCTGAAACAGTTTCACCGAAGCTACAAATTCATGCAATAACACGGCATGCAATGAGAAATCAGGTGGTAAAGCTGTTTATTACCATCTTATAGAAATTAAATGCAACAAAGTGGCAATGGCTTTTCTTTAATGCTAACTGTAGCACGCTTTCAATATGCAAATTAAAAGATCACACACAGTACAACCATCCTGTTGCTTGTTTTACCAACTTAGGAAAATTGGCTCAAACATTAACTTCATTCTGGTCAAGAAGTTAACTACCCCCATGATGGTAACCTGTGTGAGTGAAATCAATACCAGTGAAGCTATGTGCTGTAATGTTTGAAGTTGTCCTATAAATGTGCAGTGCATTGTGGTTTGACTGGACATGTGACCACTAAATTTATGAACTGTTAATCGCATAGCTACACAGCTGCATTCTAACCTTTAGAATGCAGCTGTGTGCTCTTCACAACCAAATGCACATTTTCCTACACCATGTACTGGGCAATTGTGCAAGAAGTAACAACACTGCGCTCCGACCTCAAGCCTGTGCGTCAGTGTATAAACCAACTTGGCTCACAAACTTTGTCCTCTGTACCAACCCGTATGAATGAATTTTGGCGCAGCATCGGTGTCTTTATCAGGGTTACAAACTTTGCACAGTGTGTTCTCTTTGCCCATGCTGACAAGAACAAAACCTGACCACTTTTTACACATGAATTTGTCGCAGTGACAGCTCCAGGGGAATAGATCCACAGCCTGGTCCCTCTGGGAGCGGAGCAAGTGCGGCAGTGCTGCACGAGAGTCGGCCGCTGGAGGCGGTGCAGCGGGCTCCAACAAATGTGCCATACAGCCGACGTTGGTGCCGGGAGGCTTCACAGCGCTTCTTGCAGGAGACAGAAAGGCAGCAGCAGCTCGAGGGAGCTAATCTCCTGCTGGAGAAGGAGAGCACAGAAATGGTTAAGCAAGCTGCCACGGCAACAATTGCAGCAGCAACTGCTGCCGAGGAGTTCTACCAGCAGTCAAAAAAATTACTAGAGGACCAAAAAAATTTAATTCAACTGGAAACACAGCGTGCAGAATTGGAAATCAAATTGCTAAAAAAACAATTAGGAGAAGAGTAAACATTGACATATTACGCTGTTTTTAATTTTCATTTTGAATGTGTATATATATATATGACAAAGCCAACACAGCTGCTGATAAATAAAATCCATTTTACTTGCAACTGTATATTTCTAGATTCAGATCTGCTATACTCTGTCTCGTCCTACGATGGACTAAAGCCCAATGCTACACGCCGCCGGGTCCAATCACGAGCCTGTTTGAAACCATGTGGTATATTTGCTCCGTCAAACATATCGGTGCGCCGAAACGTGTCATGCGAAGACAAGTTTTTCATCTGCTTATCGAGAACTAACGGCGGCTCCGCCTGCTTGCAGGGTTTTTGCTCTAGTTCCTTGTCACAGCACGAATAGTTGCGACGCTCAAGGAATCTTGACTGCTGATCCATCTCCGTGCGCTCTGTCCGTACCGCCGTCAGCCTCGTATGCGCCTCAGTTGCCGCTAAGACTAAAAGCCTGCCTTGCATGTACTCATCGGAAGATCGTCTGGCTAATTTTATCATTTGCCTAATTTATCTTCGTATCTCCCTGAACCATAGCCTATGGTATTCGTGTTCCCGCTGCGCCGGGGTAATCGGCAGCAGTAGTCAAGCGTAATATGTGGGGACGGCGTGGGCGAAAATTCCACTCTCTTCCAACCTAACGCAGAAACAACATTTGGTATTCCAATGTTTGATCAATTAAAAACAAGCAGAATGCACTGGTACTCAAGACCATGCAAAGCAGCATGTGCAATATATTGGTATACTTACGCTCAACCGAAGAACTGGCTGACGATGGCATCCCGAGCCTCGTTGCTTTCATCACGGCCCGCTGCCACGGGCTCGACGGGAACCTCTTCGGGGAGGACAGTCCTTGGCATGCTGCAGGGGTATGTCTTGGCCAGGTTGTGCAGGACACAGCAGGCAACAGTGATGTCGCAGCATCTCTCTGGCTGCATCCTCAGCTCAGCATGGAGGCAATGAAATCTCCGCTTGAGCTGGCCTATTGTCCTGCACAGTGTATAAATAGAGCAAGATCTGTTATCCTTTTGAAGTGGTTTATAAGAACATCTAATGAGATCGGCATGCGATGTCTATCATCGCTCCAGCCCATCGAAAACATGGTATTATGCCTAATAGTTAATATTTTTGTTGGAATATTTTAACATAGTAATGAAATGCAGATTTTGTTAAAGATTTCAGTGATGTGATTGGTCTGAGTCATTTTGGAGCAGCCCTTGGAGCAGTCAAAAGTCAATTATGGTGCAACAAAAAGAACTTTTGTAGCATAAGCGCACATTCATTTTTATTGATACCAATGCAAACATCACGTCAAAATTAATTTTTCGGCCTGTCCAACTAAAGGGCAAAGTCTACGTTGCCTTCTCACATACGTTCAAACCTTTGTTAGCATCAACTGCGCAGCAAGAGTTCCTCAAACACAAAACTATAGCGTTCAGTTGCGTGGAGAAGCACCATGACAGGGTAACAAAAAGGTGAGTGATGAAGGACAGCACAAACTCCTTTAAATGGTTATTTTAGGTACTGAATGCCACTAAATTAGTACAATAACATTGGTCACATAAACTGATGTTTCCTTCAAGTTCTAGAGGTTGTAATAAAACTGCAATTTATAAATGAGATAAAAAAAACAAAGCAATTATCATTTGATTATCAACATAAATTACATTTTATCTGTAGAACTTCAGAGCAAAAACGGCATGTGAACGAAACTTAAAAACAAACCCGCCGAACTCATTCAGGCTCTTCCCGAGATTTCATCCACTGCTCCTGTCAATTTAGTTCTAATCTACTCGCACCTACAGAAAATTGATAGCTAAACAAATGAGTTGGCATAAATAAATAAACATGCATAAGAGCATATATAAATGCTCTTGCAATACCAAAGTACCCTTACTAAATCTCGAAATTGGAAAAGGTGCCGCCGGGATCTTGTAATCCATCATATTTACGAGCCGAAGTTGTGTTCAGGAATTGTGTTGAGTCTCACTTTGGAGGAGAGCTTTCTCCTTAACACAGGGTCCGCTGCAGAGAAGCAAGACATACAAAGTTGCGATGCCTACTCCGTGGTGTTTGCTTCTTTGCAGTACACCGGTGCGTGGTGAAAAGCGCATTCAACGACACTATAGTCCGTTGCAACCTAAGAACGAAGGGCGAGGGTAAGACGGGTTGGGGAGGAGGAAGCAGGCGGAACGCTAAAGAGAGAAGGAGGTTTCCCCCTCTCTTCTCTAGCGTTCCGTCTGCTTCCTCCTCCCCGGCCTGTCTTACCCTCGCCCTTCGTTCTTAGGTTGCAACGGACTATAGCTAACCCTCCAGAATGAACAGACGACTAACATAAAAATTATTGCGAAACTTCCAGATATTGCCTGTCATTCATACGAAATGTGATGGAATGGTATCGTATACGAGACTATAATCAAAAGTTTTGAAAACCTGAAAACTTGCGTAAGCATATCGTGACGGTCCGGCCGGGCAGCGAAGCCCGAGCTATTATATTTTCAGTATTATTAAAATGAAAATAAGTTTTGGTGCTACGTTGGTGCAAATTTCTCACATTTTTGTTAAATGTAGCAGGACGTAGCAGGGTAATCACTTTGGCGCAAATGGCGCAGCAATCCCATCACAGATATAATGAAAATGTTCTTCGCAAAAACTTGCAAGGAAAATTGCAGTTTGAGATAAGCAGTATTTAATAAGATATGCTTGAATAAGTCTGTACACAAACTGTCTAAAAACAAAACCTGCCTAAGCCAGTGTTTTTTTTTCACATTGCAAGCTGTTTTTTTTTTCTAAGAATTGCTTTACATTTAGGCAATATAGAGTAACAAAAAAAATTAACTGCTATTGTTTGAAATGTGTAAACAGCTAGTAAAAACCTGTAGGTTAATAAACCCAGTCATACAGGAAGGATATGTTTCAGAGAAGTTCTAACTTCTATTCTGGAGTTTATACAGAAAAGAGCAAATGAAATATAACAATTATTGTGACATATAGAGTTAACTGGCTAATGGTTGAATTTTGTGAATTGATGTTCTTCATTCCCACAATGCTGGCTAACCTTAGAATAAACATTTCAGGCTATGGCAGTAGGTTATAGCCCGTAGTATAAATAAGGTATAGTAGAGATACGCCTTCCTCTCCTTGCTTCTGAGCAGCCGTAGCCTACTATGCAAGAACATAAAAATGGCAACAAATGTAAAGCTCAGGCACAACCACATAAAAAAGGTTAGGTGCCTCAAGGTACCGAAACACTGAACCGTCGAACCAGGACGCATAGCCTGGCTTTACCGTTCCACGATGCTCCTCGTTGTGCTATGTGACGCATTGTAGGCGACCTCCGCTGCTGATGACGGAGACAGGAAGGGCGTCATCAGCCATGGCTTGCAGGTGTAGCCGCTGTCTCCAAGCAGTAGGCCCTCGTAAACGCCATCGGCCAGCTTGCCTGACAACGAGCCCTCGGTGAATATCCTAGAGTCGTGGGTGCTTCCAGGCCATTTTGCAACCACATTGCGGATACGGTAAAAGACGTCAACCACTAACTGTACATTTATTGAATGGTACAGATGGCGGTTAACGTACACCTCCTCATGCACTTGTGGTGCCTGTATCCGAATGTGAGTGCCATCAACAGCACCCACGACCGAAGGAAACCCACCGATCTCAAAGAAGGCCTGTTGTAAGGCATGACCCTCAGCTTCACCTGGCCACCTGCATTGTAGATGGATTTGAGTGAGTCTGTAGCACTATGACATTAACAGTGACAGTTTTGTTGTTATGATCACATGCTTCAAAATAACACAGCTATCATTCATCGTCATCAATAGTGAGCAATAAAAGCCTCGTCTGCACAATGACAGTACTCAGTAGCCGCAAGACTAGCTCAGTAGCAACAAGTGCATAGTTGGGAGTGCAGAAACCAGGCTGTTTGTAAATGTCTGCACTCCTACTTTATTTGTAGATTAGTTGAATTTGCACCTGCACCAATAATAGGTACTAAGGGAGTCATTTTGTACACTCCAGTTGGTTCGTGTAATTTTACTGCCCAGTTCACTGGTCTGCATGTCACGCTCATTACCAAAGAACAAATATCGAGTGCTGAAGCAACACTTTTAATGATCCTTTAGGGAGGTAGCAGTATACGTGGGGATCGATGCGCTGGCAGATATTCAGGCTAGCAAGCCTACAGCTTAGGAAACAAAAACGAAAGGGTCATTGCGCAGGTGGTGCGCCGTAAATAAATTGCAGAATAGGTGTGCGGAGAAGACCACCTTTAACGAATTCGGGGGTTTCAGCGAACACAATTCACGCACCGAAATTTCTATACAAAGGGTTTCTGAAATAATGGTGATTGCTCATCGAGCAATCTAGGCCCAGGCTTTTTTTCTCGGAAAACTGGCCTGCACATGCGCCTAATATCGGGACGCACCAGAGATGCTCCAGACCACTTACCCTATGAAGTCTTGGGCACGACGTGCCAAGGCCTGAGTCACCCGCCTCACAGTCCGCGAAGCAGTGGAGACGTGCACACGGATGTAGTCCCCTGCGGTGATGAGGAAGTTCCCCGTGGCGTAGAAGGCGACAATGACCTGCTGCTCTGCAGAGAGGGCGCGGCTGCGACGCGTCGGCCGCTCCAAGTCCGGGCGCAGTGTGTCGGCGAGGAACACAATGCCCGCGCGACCGAATCGAAAGCGCTCCTGCAGTTCGTCCTCATCGAACTCCTCCAAAGGGTTCAAGCGGTCACGGAACACACGCTGCCGTCCCATCATCACAACAGCGTACTGGGCGAACACGCGCTCTCTTCGATGTCGGCGTCGCGTCACAGTCGACATTGCGTCCCTTCACCAATCCGTCCGCAAATCAGTTGTCAGTCAGTCCGGTAGTCAGTCGGCGAGCGAGTCGGAGGGTCGGTTGGGCAAACGGCAGGAGAAGACAAACAGTGAAAATCAGGTGATAACTAAAGCGCGGGAAACGTGCGTCGCAAAACACGGAGAACAAAACAACCAAAAACAACGAATCTATAAAGACCGTTGCCAAACCCGAAATCAACGCTGCAAACTTATGCTGTGTTTGGCGGCACAATAGATGCATCAAGATATTTATTATTTTTTTAAAGCACATATATATTTTCATGCATAAAAAGAAACATTGTGATACGATGTTGTTTTTATTTTTCTTAATAAAGACAAAACTAGCAAAAACGTTTCTTAAAAGGCTATTGTTTGCTTCGACCGGAAAGTGGCGGGAGCTACCGCATAATAATAAAACACGGAGAAATTGTGCGTCGAGTTTTTGTCGAACGCGGCTAGGTACTCGGATGTACCTAGGTAGGGAAACGCGGTTAACTTTTAACCGCGGTTAGAGTTAACCAGCTTCGAGCAAACGGGCCCTGGGAGCGATTTGCAAACCAGTATTCGGACAAAGAGGAAGGCGATATAAAACAAACGAAGTGCGAAACGGCTGCTTTATTTTTTTTTTTTTTCTAAATATATCTGGCTTTAAATTGAGCTCTAAAAATATTAGTTTTTTTCTTTTTTCCCCCAAAAAAACGTTCACGTGCCAAGTGGGGTGGTTCAAACGGCCACAACACCGCGCCCTGCGCTTTCGATAATTTCGAACGTGGTTGGAACTTCGAATCAATTCGGAAATCGGAGCTTATTCTACGTTATGTGAGCTACTATAATCTACGTATGTACTGGCTCGAATCTCCCGCTGCCTGTTGGCCGCTTCCGGCAGTGGCGGAAGCCGGGCGAAGAAGACCGAGCTCGAGATCGGCGGCGAAGAGCCCGTGGCCCGAGCCCTCGCCGAGCGCCCGACCTGCATGCGCATGCAACTCGTTTGTTCCAGAAAAATTCTGCACCATCTATGAGGAAAAGGGCACAAATAAATAGCGGTTGAATCCCCCTTAAATCTAGCTCAGGGCCACCGTGCTCATGGCTGCGCTGTGCCGCCATGATCTTCCAACGTGCTGCACGTTGCACGCGCCTCGTGCATCGACCCACTTTGCGCTATTTTCAAAACATGAAGGGGCTTTAAGGAGGAGTAGAGTTGCTGCATGGACGCTTTCAAGTGGCTGTGCATGGGCGCCGCCCTAACCGACCTTCAGTTTTGGTTCCCTCTTATTCCGTTCGCTCCACTTCATCATTACCACAGCAGGACAGATTATTGCCATTTCACGCGTTACGGTGTTCTTTTCCCCAGCACAGCATAGACCCTTGTGGAGACTCGTCAACGCCCGCTTCAGTGGCTCGGCATCTCGGTAAGGCAAGGGAAGGTCGGCTATGGCGGCTCAATCTGGCGCGCGCTGAAAGCGTCTATAGGCTCCCCACGGGAGCCAGAGTTGCGCGTTCATTTTCGTAGCGCCGCCTTTTGTGCACGGCATAGTGATCCCGCTCGTCACGTGACTGAATTCGGCAAATAGCGGCGCCGCGCGTTCGAGGCGCGCTCAAAAGCAGGGTAACGTTCGGCGGGGCGCGCGCACGTCTACTTTCCTGCACGGCACTCGATCCGGCTCCTCACGTGTTCGGATCTCGGCGAATGGCGGCGCGGTGGCAGGTGGAAAACAGACGAGCAACTCTGGCTCCCGTAGGGAGCTTATACAGGAACTCTAAGGAGGAGGGAATTGCACCGCCCTCTGTTTGTCGTCGTTCCAAGCGCTTTCGTGCCCAGTTTCCTTTCCTTCCGCCGGGTGGCAGTACCGTCACGCGTGTCTAGTTTCCTCCGGCTCCTCGGGGCGGCGATAGACCTGGACATGTGTGTATATGTACCGTTCGTCACGATGATCACCGATCAAGACAATAAATCTGTTCGTACCTTTGTTCAAAATTCTCGGACGTCTGTGCCATGTGTTAAACAGCTTCTCTGGTCATCCAGACAGTGGAATGCCTCATCAATTTTATTATTAATATTATTATTATCGTTATTGTTAGTATTGATGAATTGAATTGAATCGATGGTTATGCATCAATTCCTCTCCTTCACGTTTCGTAGTATATTCCTTCCTAATCAGCATGACTTCCTGTCCCCCGGCAGATCGACACCTACCAATCTCGTATATTTTACGTCTGCTGCATCTGAAGTAGTTTGTAACACTATTCAGCTCGACGTTTCTGTTTTCGACCTGAGTAAGGCCTTGGACGTTGTCGACCACAACATCCTCTTATACAAGCTTTCTTCTTATGGAGTACGAGGTTCGGTATACAATTTGTTAAAAAGCTAAGTGCAAAAGCGTACGTCCGTGCCAAGACTACTACACCGTCCTTGCCAAGCCCTGGAGTGCCCCAGGGATCTGTCTTGGGCCCCTCCTTTTTAAGATTTTTGTAAATGATGCCTCTCAGGTTATAGCAAACCTCATTTCTGCAGTGTGCTGATGATAGAAAACTTAACAAAAGAATACCGACCTTAGAGGATTTCATTACACTTCAGAATGACGCACATTCCTTCGGTCATTGGTGTTTAGACAATCCGTTTGAATGATTCTAAAACAACAGTACTGACATATTCTCCGAAAATTTACGATATATTCTTGCTATATAATTATCATGGCGAACTGCTGTCACGCTTAAAGGGGCCCTGCAATGACTTTTTTACTCATTTTTAATTTGCACCGAACCTGAGCGCACTGAACGTAGTAACTTAGTGAAACTTTTCTTTACTCGAAATTCCCTTTTTTTTAAAGTTATAGGCAAATCAACATTACAAAAACAAGCAAAAAATAACCTCCCTCATGACGTCCTTGGTTGCTTGAGTGTGGCCGTGAGCTAGAGGAGAAGTAGTGAGGTCATCGAGCGCTCACGGCTGCCGTACTCCGTGTCGACGGCGCGAGAGGGCGCCATTGAAGCGTGTTCTGGATAGGATGTATGCAGCGGGCAGCCAGAGCGGCTCTCATTGCATTTGCTGGGCGATTAAATGCTAATTCGGCATGACACTTCATTGGCCACACACGACAGGAAACACGGGGTAAAGATCAGTTCAGAATGGGAGCTACTTTGCGCTGCCATACCGCGAAACGGCCAAACCGCAAGACAAAGCTTCTCGCCGAAGGCCTTCGGAACGCTCGGAGCCGGTCGGACCCTAGCCTGCCCATACGACCGCAGCGTCGCCGCATACATCCAGGACCTTTCCGTGTCGGCGCCTGATCCCACTACTTCTTTCTAGTATACGCCGCCTTTTCCACCACTTGGTGGCGGGAATGTCGACGGGTCATTTCTTGTTTCCGTACTCTATGAACCGCATTCGTTTCTTTTTTGATCTGAAATACCGAACAAAAACTACTTTTATAAATAACTGAAACGGTTCGCGCCACTTATATTTTGTATTTCGACTAAAAAGAAACTTTTAGCGGCTATGACCAGTAATAAGCCCAGGACCAAAGACGTCACATTTCGCGCGCTTTCGATACCGTGGGTCGCCCTCGTCGGTGGAGTGGGTTTCCGCGTCGTCCGGTTAGAATATGACGCACTGATATTTAGTTACTCTCCCCGTGTCCGCTGGCTTGCCCGAACCCCAAGAGACCTGGAAACCGCAAAAAAGGAAGACGCTTAAATATGATTGCAGGGCCCCTTTAAGTGAACTGAGGGACCTTAGTGTTGTTCATGAATCAACCCTGAGATTTGACACCTGAGTGGTTATATCGCACTTGCGCACGTTACGTGCCAAATCTCGCATAACGAAGAAATTAAAGATCCCGTCCATTATTTTTTTCGCTCTGTACTGTTCCTTAGTAAGATCCGAGCTAGACTACGCCTCGGTGGTTTGGAACGGCATTTCCAAAACTAACAGTTTACCAGACGATCGAGTACAAAACAAATTTATTTCCATCTTTAAATGTTGTTATTTTGAGAAAGGTGCTCATTGTGTAAACATTGGGGGAAACTCACAACTCGTCAACTTGTTGTGGCTCAAGAAGCGTGGGATCGAGGCAGATCTGCTGTTTTTTGTTTAAAGGGACACTGACAGGGTATTTATGCTCGACAAGGTTTTTATTTGTATGCGACAGATAAGAACCCAATTACCCAAAAAACAATTCGCGGCTTGAAATTCGTTTCTTTTTTTGCGCCCGAAAATTTCCGATCGAGAACTGGCCGGTTTGAGTCACACTCACTCTCTTCTCTGCGGTCAGGAGCCGATTTCTATGGTTTAGAAACAGCCGCCAAATGTAATCAAAGTCGTTGATCATCGACGGCATACATACAGTATTAAAATAGAAAAAAAAATATACCTTTTTTTTGTGGTTTCGAAAACGCTGCAAATACGTTGATTGGAAAAAAAAACAAAAAAAAACAAGCTGCACTGCTACGTGATTTGCGCCAACTTTCTCCTCTATATTTCTTCTTCCTCAGCAGTCCAGTTTTGGTTTCGGTTTCGAGCAGTTCCGTTTTTTGGCATTATTAAAAATATATGTGACGCTGTAGCAAAATATTGACTGTAGTCTTCTGACACCACAATAAATCGTCTGGAAAAAAATTCAAGATATTTGGGGGGATGTCAGGGTCCCTATGAAGGGATGCTTCAATGAAATTTGAACTATACCCATCGGGTTCAAAAATAGGTCGAATATGATCCACAATATCCGTAAATGACAATCGCGCGTTTGTATTTTGAGCCCGGTGGCTGTATTTTTTCTTTAAACAGCCCACTCTGGCAGGCGCTGGGACAGCAGCCAGCGGAGAGCACGTGACATCCAACGCAATCGTGACGTAGTTCGTCTCGGGACGAGCAAAGCTGCGGCGAGGCCACGGGCGAGGCTCACGTCGAGAGGATGGCCTAGTCGTTCCAGCCGCCGAAGTGGCTGCTTTTGTACGAATTTTGAGTGACGGGCTAATCTTCTACA